GGGGGGGAAGGGGAGGCAGAGAAAGAGAGAGAAGGGAAGAGGGCCTGAGAAAAGAGAGAGTGGCGGTTGCCGTCAACTGCTATGGAACGCCCCAGAGTTTCACTCGGTCAGTCCACGGACGCTCGCTGCCCGGGGCTGCTGCGAGAATTACAGTCTTTTAAAGATGAGGAGGAAAGCTCAGAAGTCAAGCCCCTGTCCTCAGATCACGCCCCTGGCAGACGCGCGCCCGCTCACCCCCGGGTCCTCTTACACTAACTCCCGGCCCCCTCCGGCGCCGAGCCGAGCGAAACCCGGCAACGCCAATGGACACCTGACGGAGGAAGCGGCGGACGGAGCAAGGCAGCTCGCGCGGAGGAGTACGAGCGCACGGGGGCCCGGCCCGCCCGCCCGCTCACCTCCTNTTCCGTGAGCGCTTGGACACCTTCTTCTCCATTTTGGCGGCCGTCTTCTCCGCCCCGCGGCCCTTCTTCTCCTTCTTGCTCTTCTTGCCCATCGTGAGGGTCTGTGGCGGTGCCGGGATGCTGAGGATGGCGGAGAGCAGGGCGCGGCGCGCCGGTAGTACGTAAACGGCCGGCGCGCGTAATGCGTCACTTCCGGGGGCGCGGCTCGCGCTCCGCTGCTTCTCTATGGGTCGGAGGAAAGGAGCCTGGGGGCCCAGTGCGCCGGCTGGCGCCGCCCCAAAGTGGCGAGCCTGCGGCCGGTCCCCTCCGCGCCGAGACCTTAGCAGCCCAGAGCGACTCAGCAGTTACGGTTTTCCCAGCGACCGAGCCTGGCCTTGAAGGCTGGCTTCAGTGTTTATTGCATTTGGGCAAATTGCTTGGCCCTGTGTGGAATGACCCAATTGGTGACTGTAAGGGAGCGACATTTTTTTCTACCTTGGGCCCTTTTGTGTTCTTTTTCTTTTTTTTCTTTTTCTTTTTTAAAAATATATCTTTATTGATTTCAGGGAGAGGAAGGGAGAGAAAGAGAGAGAAACATCAATGATGAAAGAGTCATTGATCGGCTGCCTCCTGCACCCCCACCCGCACCCCCACCCCGCCTGAAACCCGGGCCTGTGCCCACCCCGGGAATGGAACCGTGACCTCCTGGTTCATGGGTCCGTGCTCAACCCCTGAGCCGTGGTGGATGGAGGTGGGCCCTTTTGGAAATGAAATGATTGTTGTGGCTTCAGCCCCAGAAAGACGTTCATGCTCCTGGAAGGATTTGCAGGCCCTAAGTGAGGACAATGCCTTCTCTCCCCACAAAACGGCCCAGTACTGTGAGGCGCTGAGAATATTTTGCTCATCAAGAAAAACAGCCCTGCTGTTCCGCTTTCTACGCGACTTTCCTCCAATGTCCTGTGTTACAGGACTTATTTCTTCATGGGTAGAATGGGACTGATGGCACCTCCCCTCCAAGGGTAGTCAGTTTTTCAAGCCTGAGGAATTCGAACTGCCCACTAGGAAACTGTGTTCTAGTATTGGACTCAAATAACATAATACATGGGAAAATCACTTGTAGGACATGGAATGCTAAGGTTTGGACAAAGCAGAGTGGAAATGCTTATCATTACTTAGAAGACAGCAAATAATAAAAGAAATTGGACAAACTAAGGACAATCGCAAGCAAACATCTGGCGAAGGGAAAACATACATCAGGATATGATGTAGTTTCTTTGTGGGTGAACCGCCACAGGGCTCTGCCTTCAAGAAGTTACCTTAGATCTAATCAATTTGCTAATCACTGAACAGCCAGGGAGCAATGCTTTCCAAACAACTCCAAGCCTTGTCCAGAAACTTACCTCTTTCAGAAGAAAATGAAATTTGGGGAAATTATGGGAAGAAAAGGTAGAATAGAGTTCTGGCTGCCACAGTCTCCAGCACTGCCTATCAAAGAATAGGAGAACACCTGTGAGGATGGGAAAAGGAACCAGTTAGAAGCTGATCAAGGTGGAGCTGCAGAATTTCACAGAAACCTGGCTCCTGAGTCTCCAGACATAATCATCTTCAACAATGAGCTACAAAAGGCCAAATCCTCACTAGTGCCCTGTGGAAATCATTACTTTCCTTCTAGTGCAATATGACTCTAAGAACATGCCTAATCCTTTTATACTTTCCTAAGAATATAAGGTAATCTTGAGGCAATGCACTTGAAGCAGGATGGCCCTTCAGTCACAGCACACCTGTCGGCAGTACATTACACAGTCCCCTCTTAAGAGCTGCAAAAGGGGAGCACATTCCCTATTGAACATTTACAAGGATCTGGGAGATGCAGGGCTTAATACTTTTATTATCCAAAAGAATCTTGAAGCTGAATTGGAAGGCTCTTGGGTTATGTGTCATGGTCACTTACGTATAAGTTTGAAATTCTCATTACTGAGAAAGAAAGAGAACATTTAAAATGAGACCAGAATCCTAAAATAGTAAAAAAGATTAAGTACAGGGTCCTATTTTAGTGAAATTCACATTTTTAAAACTTTAATGGATTATCTTAAATCTAATAATATATCAGCTTTCAAAGGTACTTTTGTGTGGTCAGATGCCCTCTGCTGTCTTCAAGTTGAAATCCAGAAGAGAGAAAAAATATAATGGACCTAACTTCTAAATTACTGTCACCACCAATAATCAGTGTCATTGGGAAGTTCTCTCAAGTGTGGTATAGACGAGGTGATTCCTTTTATGTTTCCCATACGGAGAGTAAGAATCTGCCCACCTACTATACAGAATTCTTGGGAGAATCAAGAGAAAGCATCAGAAAACTTGGAAAAATAAAAAGCAAAATGCAAATTTAAGAGATTTTATGTGCTGTGAAATGAGGTCATGATTTGAACTGGCTGACAATCATTTCATTAATTGGATATACAACTTGTGGACATTGAACCAGGTCACCTGAGATACAAGACAGAAAACCAGCCACCAGCTTCAAGGTTTTGTTCTAGTGAGAAAAACATGATGTTTCTCAAATGCTTTGTGAAATGAAACAGGAATAAGGAAGGAAGAAAGGAAGGAGGAAGGAGGGAAAAGGAAAGTAAAGAGAAGGGAGACAGTGAAGTCAAAGGGAGAGAATAAAATCAGTCATTGTTTCATATATTTTGTCCAGTTTTCTAGCTGTCTGAGGGAAAGCATAAATTCAGTCTCATTGTTCCAATGTGGCTAAAAGCAAAATTCTCTCCTCTTTTGGGTTAAAGAATGCTGCTTAATGTCCAATTATTTGGAGATCTTTCTGTTATTTATTTCTAATTTAATTCATTAATTTAAGCTAGCTAAGAGTTTAGCGCTCTCCCATCCGGGCATGGCTCAGCCATTGATCCAGGAGGTTCCAGGTCAAGGCACATGCCCCCAGTTTCAGGCTGGATCCCCAGCAGGGGGCGTGCAGGAGGCAGCCCATCAGTGTCTCTCATCATTGATGTTTCTCTCTCCCTCTCCCTCCCTCTCTGAAATCAATAAAGATATATTTAAATAAATCAAAAAAAGTTTAGTGATCACAATTCCCCTTCAAATACCACGTCAGCTCCACCCTACAATTTTTAATATATTGTGTTTTGATTTTTTTTTAATATATTTTTATTGATTTCAGAGAGAAGAAAGGAGAGGGAAAGAGAGACAGAAACATCGATGATGAGAGAGAGACACTGATCGGCTGCCTCCTACACGCCCCCGACTGGGGATTGAGCCCGCAACCAGGGCATGTGCCCTGACTGGGAATCGAACTGCAATCTCCTGGATCCTAGGTGGATGCTCAACTGCTGAGCCAGGCCTGCTGGGCTATCATATTTTGATTTTCATTCAGTTAGAAGTACTTCCCCTTTTGATTCTTTCTTAAACCGCTGGGTTACTTAGAAGTGTGTTAGTTAGTTTCCAGATAGTTGGAGATTTTCTAAAGATCTGAGAGGCAATTTTTTTTCTGTTTTTATGATTTTATCTTTATCTTTATTATCCTACAGTTTCAGTAAGATATATTTAGATATTAATTTTTTTATTTGTTTTGCTTGGGAATTGGTAGTCTTTGTGAAGCTGTGGATGGTGGCTTTCTCTCCCAGCCTAGTATGCTGTTGCTCCCTTCTCCTCTCCTTTTCTTCTGGAGCTCCAACTAAATACACGATGTTCCTTCTCACTTTCTCTTCCAGGTTTCTTAACCGCTAGTCTCCAGTTTCTATCTGTTTGTCTCTCTGTGTTGCATTCTAGGTAATTCTTTCTGATCTATTAGCTCCTGGATTCTGTGCTCAGCCCCATCAAATCTGTCTAACGTGGTCCTTTATTTTTAAATTATGATTAGTTTATTTTCAAAGGTTCTGTTTCTTTTCTCAAATCTGCTAGATCACTTTTATAGCTTCCTGTTCCCTGCAACTATTTTCTAACTCAACTTTTTATTTCCTTAGGTTGAGGAAGTATGTTAATCCGTTTGTGCTGCAATAATGCTGCTCCTTCTCCTAAAGAACTGCTTGTGGCTATCCTCTGAAAGATTTCAGCTGCAGAATCTTTCTCCAGAGAGGAATAGCTCTTGCTTCTGCCAGCTCATAACATCCTAAGTCCAGATTCTGACAACCCAGGTGATGCAAACAGAGGCTGAAAAACCAAGGAAGAGTCAGGATGTGGTTACAGTATCTCAGGGATCTTGCCCCCACCCCCGCTCCCCCCTTCTCCACTTAGCACTGAGACGACTTCCTTGTGGTTTCCCAGGTCCTGGGGGCCAGGGTCACTTTTACCTCACTTTCATCCTTCAGGCACAGCTCTTGGATCTCAGCTTAACCCACAGGGGACCTCCTCTTAGATCCCACATGAGCAGCCTTGGGTTTTATGATTTTTTTCCCTTGTCCTTTAAGGCTGTCAGAACTGAAGTCAAATGTGGCAACACGTGCTCATGCCCGGAAACAAAAGCCATCTCAAAGCCCAGTTTCTACCCAATTTGTTGGTTCTACTTCCTGTTAGAAATCTTTCTGTTTTGGTTACTCTTTACTCCTTGTTAGCTTCCTGATGCCTTTAAGAAGACGCGTTTCAACATTTGTCCAGCATGTTCTAGTTATTTCGAATGGGAGGAATGGTCCAAATAACCTAATCTAACATATTACTTGAGGTGTAGCATTGCTTCATTTTTACAATGGTGTCTTTCAGTGTGTGATTAGTATAGACTGATTTTTAAAATTTGGAAAATATAGACAAATATAATGAAGGAAGCCTCAAAGTCACCCATGGTCTTCTCTCCCACACACAACTCAGCGTTTGGGGAAATTTCCTGCTGACTATGTAGAAGCCTATTCATCTACTTAACTCACATGTGCAGGGCCTCCATTTTTTTTTTTTTTTAATTTTTAATTTTTTAGATTTAGAGAGAGAGGAAGGGGGAGAAAGAGAGAGAAGCATCAATTTGCTGCTCCCTCCATTCTGCATTCATTGGCTGACTCCTGTATGTGCCCTGACCAAGGATCAAGCCCACAACTTTGGCCTATTGGGGTGACACTCTAACCAGCGCTCCTACCTGGCCAGGGTGGGACTCTTTCGTTCTTGATCTTTCCCTCTCTTCTTTATCACCAGATCTCAGAG